CCCAGAAGCTAGGAGAGAATCATGGAATAGATTCTCCTCTGGAGCCTGCAGAGGGCACATGGCCCTCCCAACACCTACTTTGACTTCAAACTTCTAGCCTCCAGAACTATAAGAAAATAAATTTCTGTGGTTTTAAACCTCCCAGTTTGTAGTAATTTGTTACAGCAGCTCTAGGAAATGAATAAAAACCCATGGCCCATTTTTACATTGGGCTGTCTTATTTTTTTTTTAAAGATGGGGGTCTCACTGTATTACTCAGGCTGGCCTTGAACTCACAGGCACAGGTGATCCTCCTGCCTCAGCCTCCTGAATAGCTGGTACTATAGACGTGCCACTGTTCCCAGCTTAGTATTATCTTCTTATTGAGCTGTTAAGTCCTTTAAATATTCTGGATACAAGTCCCTTATCAGACATATGATTTGTAAATATTTTCTCCAATTCTGTGGTTTTTTTTCATGAATCTTTTGAAGCATATTGTAAATTTTGATGAAGTAGAGATTATAAATTTTGCTTTTCTTGCTCATGGTTTTGATGTCATATTTAAGAATCCTTTTCTAAATCCAAGGTCATGAAGATTTAACCCTGTTTTCTTCAAAGAATTTTATAATTTTGACTTGTATATCTAGATCTTTGATTCATTTTGGGTTGTTATATATGTTACGAGGTAAGGGTCCAAGTTTATTTTTTTGCATGTGGCCATCTAGTTGTCCCAGCACCATTTATTGAAAAGACTATTCTTTCCCCCCATTGAATGGTATTGGTGCTCCTGTTGAAAATCAGTTGACCATAGACATATGGTTTTATTTCTGGACTCTTGAATCTAATCTATATGTCTACCCTTGTGCCAATACCATACTGTGTTACCTTGAACTCCCGGCCTCAAGTGATCCGCCCACCTTGGCCTCCCAAAGTGCTAGGATTACAGGCATGAGCCACCCTGTCTAGCCTTTTAAATACTATACTGCCTTGATGACTGTTTCTTTGTAGTAAGTTTTGAAATCAGGAAGTATGGATATTAGTTTGTTCTTTTCAAGATTGTTTTGGCTATTCTGGATCCTTTGCTTAAGAGTTTTAGAATCAGCTTGCCAATTTCTACAAAGAAGTCAGCTAGGATTCTGATGGGAATTGCACTGAATCTGTAGATCAGTTTGGGGAGTACAGCCTTCTAAACAATATTAAGTCTTCTGACGCATGAATATGGGACATTTTCCCATTTATTTAGATATCCTTTAATTTCTGTGTTATTCCATTTGCATTGCTAAAAAGAAGTAACTGAGGCTGGGTAATTTATGAAGAAAGGAGGTTTATTTTGACTCAGTTCTGCAGGCTGTACCAGCATGGTGGCAATATATGTCCAGCTTCTGGTAAGGGCCTCAGGAAGCTTACAATTGTGATGGAAGCTGAAGGGGGAGCAGGCATTCACATGGTGAGAGGGAGCAAGGGAGATGCCAGGCTCTTTTTTAAATATATTTTTTATTTTTTTTAAACAATCAGCTCTCAAATGAAATAATACAGTGAGAACTCACTACTGCAAGGATAGCACCAAGCCACTCGTGAGGGATCTGCCTCCATGCTCCAAACACCTCCCACTAGGCCAACCTCCAACAATGAAGTTCACATTTCAGCATGAGATTTGGAGGAGACAAATGTTCAAGCCAGATCAATTTCTTACAACAACATTTTTGTAGTTTTCAGAGTATATACTTTATACTTCTTTTGTTAAATGAGAATTTTAAATGAAATTATCTTCTTAATTTCACTTTTGGATTGTTCACTGCAAGTGTATAGCAACACTATTTTTGTATATTGACCTATCCTTCAATCTTGCTGAAATTGTTTACTGGTTCTAATAGTTTTTTTAGTGGATCCCTTAGGATTTTCTATACACACGATCATGTTGGCCAGGCATGGTGGCTCACACCTGTAATCCTAGCACCTTGGAAGGATGAGGTGGGCAGATCATTTGAGGTCAGGAGTTTGAGACCAGCTTTGCCAACATGGTGAAACCCCATCTCTATCAAAAATACAAAAATTAGCCAGGCATGGTGGTGCGTGCCTGTAATTCCAGCTAATTGGGAGGCTGAGGCAGGAGAATTGCTTGACGTTGCGAGGTGGAGGTTGTGGTGAGCTGAGATTGCCACTGCACTCCAGCCTGGGCAATTGAGTAAGACTCTGTCTAAAAACAAAAGAAAACAAATAAACAAAAAACCCCAAAAAGATTATGTCATCTGTGACTAGAGATTGTTTTACTTTTTCATCTCCAGTTTTATTTATCTTGCCTAATTGCCTTGGCTGGAATTTCCAGTACAATGTTGAGTAAAAGCAGGACCTAATCTATATATATATGGTGGCCTTAATCTACAACCACTTTTTCTCAGTATATGGTTTCCTACTACCCAGGGTGCCTCTGATTTAATTTTTTTTCCACAGAGATTCATACCAGTGGGCTTTTGCAAGGTGTGGATGAGGAACAGATATAAACATCTTAACATTGATTTTAAGCAATCTGCCTGTCTTACCCTTGCCTTCTGTGGCCCCTGGTATCTCCAATTCCTGGGCTTCTCTGATATTTATCCTTCTCTGTAAGTACCTGACTTTGATCTTCCACTCCTGTGCTAAGTCATTTGCCTTTCTTTTATCTACTTTCCATTGATATCTATTGTGACTTGGAGTTACAGATATCTCCCAGTTCAGGGAAGACAGAGTTTGTGTGTCTATTTGTTGTTCTCCTTGTTTTGTAAATAAAAATTTTTCAGAGGAGAGAAAAAATATATTTTTGCTGTCTTCAAGTCAGAATTCAGTTCTAGAATTGGAAGAAATGTAATGGCCAAAATGATAAAATAAATGATCTCATCATTAGGTTAATTAATGAAGAGCTAAAACCAGGATTCAGAATCCCTGATACCCTGGCCACGATTAAATTATAATTGGCTCTTACTCCATAGAATCATATAGTTTGAGAGAGGGGAAGTACCTCTGAAGTTTTCAGCCAATTTCCCGAATTTTCCATAAGTCTCCTCAACAATGTAAGTGGATTTCAGCATTGGTTAAAATATCAATGTGAATGGGAGCATTCACTCTATTCCATGACTATCTATTCTTATTTCAGAGAGCTCTGATTATTGGAAAGATTTTTTTCCCTGAAACATTTTTTCTTCACTTCTTCACACTGTATCTAGTTCTGCCCACAGAAGTTACAAAGAACTACTGTATGTACAAATAATATAGTTTGGTAGCTGGAATACTGGCTACTCTAGAGATATGATACTATACTCACTGCCTCTATGTACAATCTATAACTAAGACAGTTCACCAGCAAAATGGAGAAAAAGCTCAACTCTCACATAACAGAGATTGAGACAATTAATAAACAGCAACTGTAATTAAAAAAAAATTCTAAGCTAGCTAGTTCTCAATCCATTAAATAAGATTGCTGGGTAGGAGAACAAATGACTATCAGGTGGGTCATAGGAAGATTAGTGAAGAAAACTGAGAGGATATGTAAGAAATAACCAAGTGAATATTACAGGGAGATAAAACAAGTTGTATAATTACATACAAATTTAAAAGTAGGAGTTGCTCAGAGAATTCAAAAGTATGGCTAGTGCACAAGGTGGGTATGAAGAAGACATGGAAAATTAGTTAGGAAAGGCAATAATGCTAAATATTAACATTTATTGAGTAAGCTACATTCTGGCCACTACTGGGTACTTTACATGTGAGAACCCTCGAAACAACTTTATGAGGTAGATACTGTTATTACTTCATTTTAAAGATGGGGAAAAGGAGGTATGGGAGTGTTAGGTTAACTTGCCTAAGATTATGTAACTAATAAATGGCAGAGATGGGCTCTGAACCCAAGTAGTGGGTGCCTTAATTTATGAAGTGGTCTTCATATGAATGGCCTTTTTATTCGGAAGGTTCTAGGACTTTTTAGGTAGCAAGTTGGAGACATTGGTAAATCCTTTCCTACCTCTTCATCTTTGGCTCAGCTATCTCAAAGGAGTATCAGTAATAAGATAGGTGATCAGTTTAGGGATCCACAGTGGAGGCCAGAAGACTGTTCCAAACACTGATCCCCCATATATAAACTAAGGACAGGGAAGACAGACCTGCTTTATGGCTGGTGGCCAAGATCAGATATTTAAATTGGACAGAGACCCTTTACTATCCTATTCAAGATGAAAAGAAATTGGAGCTGTGAAAGGGAGAATAAGTATTGGTGGCAATCAGTACTTGATGCCAGTTTTTTTTTTTTTTTTTTTTTTGGCTATTGTTTTGTATTTCCTATGAACCTTTTCTGCAAATGCATATAGAAAAAAAAATAGATATTTTTACAACAAAACTCCCACTAATTAAGCACAGCCAGGCACTATGCTAAGTGTTTTATACATATTAGCTCATTTAATCCTCACAGCAACCCTAGGAGATAGGCACATTATTTTTCTTTTGCAAAGGAGGGACACTGAAGCACAAAGACATCTACAACTTTTCCACAATTGTACAGCAAATGAGCGTGACAACTAAGTGAAGCTGGAAAGAACTATAAACTGTAGACAAGCACAAAACAATTGGTTAAAGATTAGTACTTGTGAGATACTGTGTAGCAGAAAGAAACCCGGACTTGGATTAGGACTTGAAATCAGCCTCCAACATTTACTGCTGTGTAAAGATTTGAGGTTGCTCACTCCTATAAAATTTGGATTATAATACTTACCTCATAGGGTTTTTGTAAAGATCTAGTGACGTGATTATTGTAAAAGTGCACTATCTCTCAGATGTTACAGAAACGTTAGGAGTATCTCCTCCCAGGATTATACATGGAAATGAGAGATCCACAGATGGTGTGGCTATAGAACACTCGGACTACCGATCCCAGTGTGCAAAGCCTCCGGGCTTACTTTCCCGGAAACCGGCGCAGTGCCCTCTGGGACTTGTTCTGGGACTTGTAGTCTTATACTGGCGCTGGCCCACCTTTCTTCCTCAGTGGGGAAACCGGGTGTAAGCCCCGGAAGTACTTGTTGCCCGAGCAGCGTGCTGCTTAGGAAGAGAAGGTCAGAGGTCGCGGGGCAGAGGCGTTCCAGCCGCTGACCCAGTCACTATGTAGTGGAGGGGCAGACACCCTCTCACAAATTCTGGAAGGTTCTTAGTCTCGACTAGGGCAGTAGCCCCAGGACTCCTAGTCGCCGGCTTCAGGTCACTGCCGGCTGAACGGAGCTGCCGTCGCCATGTTTGGCTGCTTGGTGGCGGGGAGGCTGGTGAGGATGGGACCGAGTGGTATCAGGAAGGGGTCAGGATATGGAGGGCGAAGCCCTGCGGCGGGGAGGGTACGCAGGCGCTAGGGATGCGGGGAAGCCCACTTAACTGTATTTTGGCTGGGTATGTGAGGATGGAGCGTGGGAAGCTGGGTGCTCTCCTATGCCCAGCTCTGTTCAGATTCTTTCGAATAGTAGTCACAGTATTAGTTGGCATTTATTAAGTGTGCATTTTGTACAAGTACTGGGCTAAGTGCAGTGTACGCCTTTGGTCACTCAGCCTTATGTGTGGCGCTTATTTGGTACTTTGAACTTAATCCTCATAACTCGTGAGATGGTCTTTATCTTTGACATTTTGCAGTTAGGGAAGTAAGTTCAATCGCCAGTATAAATGCCTCCCTTATTACCGTGAGGTAGAGGTGAATTTGGGATTGAATCTGGTCTATAGCAAACGGTTTTTCAAAGATTAAGGTTCTCAGGCAGTGTATATCTGCTGGGTCCCTTTGGAAGAACCCCAGTAAAAATATGCTTAATTTAATTGGAAGTTGGCAGAAACTTAACGTGTGAACCGTATCTGAGATAACCAGAGAAAGATGCAAGTAGTGTTTTTCCTTATTGGTCAAAATAGATAACCTACATTGCCAAATTGTTAGAGTAAATGAGATCAGCACCTGGAATTCTTTAGGAATAATCTGGAAGGTGAATCTTGTTTGTTTCCTTAGAAATCACACAGACATCAATTTTCAGGTGTGACTCCTTTCCCCTAGAAGTATTTTTCCTTCTTTTTTCTTCTGGCTTTTTTAAATGTTGCAATCCCTTTGTTGAATTGTCTTTTTTTCCCATCAAGTTTTGATAATGTATTGTATTCTGTACATATACAGTTCTAAGAAGCCAGAAAGATAAATTGGAGATGACTAGCCTCATAAAGTTTGTCTCTCGAATGACTGTGAGACCCCTGTGGTGATGGTGGTAATTCATAATCCTGGTGAGATAATTCTACCCTGCTCTTAATAGGGAAAAAGAAAGGACAACCCTGGAATGATTGTGTGACTAAGACGAGTGAGTGTTATTAATTAATGACATTAAAATTGTGTTTCTCAGAGAATAGAAAACCTATTTGGAATCCATGTATCTCTCATGTTGTCAACTAATTTGGAAGGAAATTCAATTATAGTAATACCTGTCTCTATATATTAGGGATACTTGGTCCTTTAATTATGGGGCATTAGGACATATCAAAGTGAAGGACAAATAGACCTAGTGGCATCTCAAAACTTAACTACATTACTCTGTTATAAGAAAAATCTACTTATCTAAACTTACGAACCCAGTTTTTATTTCTTGAGATTTTTTTTCTTAAAGAGATATACCTTTTCTTAATGTGAAAAATTAGAGTGTGATGATACAGATTTGCAGACTGTTCAGTACCCATACAAAGTTGACACTTAAGAAATACTTATTTTGCCTGGTGGTTATTTCAAGACTCACAAATAATAGTTTCCCACGCTTTTTAGGTTATATGCATGCCAAAGACTGGTGAAATTGAATTTAATACAAATACTGGCCATTTGGTTTATGTTCTTCCTTTGTTTTATTCTTTGTACTAAAGCTGGAGGATTTTAAATTGGGTCAGAATACTTCTGAAGAAGGAATCAGAATCTGACTTTAGGAACTCTCAGCCTTTGTATCTTGGGACTTAATTTAGGGCAGGCAGTTGATACTACTTTATAACTAATAGGTAGTTAAAATTACATAGCAGTATATTTTTCTTAAGTTTCTTTGTATCAGTAGATAGGATATTATAGAAGGAAAACTTACCTAACACACATATTTTCTCTGTAAGGCATCTCATGGCCTTCTTGTACTTAGGAAGACTAGCCAGCACTTGAACGTGGTCATTTTAAACAGCACAATCACCAACAAAAATCACAAAAATGCTTTAAATAGATTAGACTGTGAAAAGGACACTTTTTCATATTATGAGGACTGAAACAAGATGGCATGTTCTACCTCAGCTGCCAGTGTGTGAGTTGCACACTCTTTTTTTTTTTTTTTTTTTTTTTTTTTTTGAGATGGAGTCTTACTCTGTCATCCAGACTGGAGTGCAATGGTATGATCTCGGCTCATTGCAACCTCCGCCTCCAGGTTCAAGCAATTCTCATGCCTCAGCCTCCCAAGTAGCTGAGACTACAGGCTTGTGCCCCCATGTTCAGCTAATATTTGTATTTTTAGTAGAGACCGTGTTTTGCCATGTTGGCCAGGCTGATCTGGAACTCCTGACCTCAGGTGATCCACCTGCCTCGGCCTCCCAAAGTGCTGGGATTACAGGCATGAGCCACTGCGGCAGGCCTACAACTCACATTTTTTGCTCCTGTTCATATGAGTGTGTCCCTGAATGACTGCAGAAATGCAGCAAGCATTGATTTGGGATTACAAGTTTTAGTGAGTAGGCGAATTCAGATAAAGGATTTGTGAATAAGGAGGATTGCCTAATTACTTCTGGATTGCTTACCTGTTTTAATTACCTGACATTCTTTCTTTTATTTATTTTTGAGACAGGGTCCCACTCTGTCATCCAGGCTGGAGTGCAGTGGCGGGACCTTGGCTCACTGCAGCCTTGACATCCCAGGTTCAAGTGATTATCTGTCCTTAGCCTCCCGAGTAGCTGGGACCAAAGGTGCATGCCACTACCCCTGGCTAATTTTTGTATTTTTGTAGAGATGGGATTTTGCTGTGTTGCCCTGGCTGGTCTCCAACTCCTGAACTCAAGCCAGCTGCCTGCCTCGGCCTCCCAAAGTGCTGGGATTACAGGCATGAGCCATCATACCTGGCCCCTTTATCTTTAAACTGTAGGGTAAGAGCTTAGGTGATGTGTTTTGGATAATCTTTCATCTTTAAAGCATTCTAAAGCTACAGTTATTTTTATTTATTTATTTTTTTGAGACAGCGTTTAGCCCAGGCTGGAGTGCAATGGCACGATTTCGGCTCACCACAAACTCCACCTCCCAGGTTCAAGTGATCCTCCTGCCTTAGCCTCCCGAGTACCTGGGATTATAGGCATGTGCCACCACACCTGGCTAATTTTGTATTTTTAGTAGAAATGGGGTTTCTCCATGTTGGCCAGGCTGGTCTCGAACTCCGCCTGCCTTGGCCTCCCAAATTGCTAGGATTACAGGCGTGAGCCGGCACGCCTGGCCTCGTTATTTTTTATGTAAGTAGAATCCTTTCAGGGCACCTGTGAAATAATTTATTTTAATTTTAATTTTAATTTTTTTAGACAGAGTTTCGCTCTTGTTGCCAGGCTGGAGTGCAATGTGGTCTCAGCTCACTGGAACATCCGCCTTCTGGGTTCAAGCGATTCTCCTGCCTCAGCCTCCCGAGTAGCTGGGAATACTTGTGCATGAGCCACCATACCTGGCTAATTTTTGTATTTTTAGGAGAGATGGGGTTTGCCATATTGGCCAAGCTGGTTTTGAACTCCTGACCTCAGGTGATCTGCCCGCCTTGGCCTCCCAAAGTGCTGGGATTACAGGTGTGGGCCACTGTGCTCGGCCCGAGTTATATTTTTAAAAGATTGCATTTAGTAGATTATGATTGTAAAACTAAGTATGTGTTTAAGACTGTCAGGTTTAACATTTTATTTGGTAAAAAGACTACAATGGATTATGCTGGTAATATAACTTGTAAACGATAGTGTTAAGAGTTACAGAAACTCATAGAACTATTGAACTAAGACAAGTTTCTTATTTTCTAGGTGCAAACAGCTGCACAGCAAGTGGCAGAGGATAAATTTGTTTTTGACTTACCTGATTATGAAAGTATCAACCATGTTGTGGTTTTTATGCTGGGAACAATCCCATTTCCTGAGGGAATGGGAGGATCTGTCTACTTTTCTTATCCTGATTCCAATGGAATGCCAGTATGGCAACTCCTAGGATTTGTCACGAATGGGAAGCCAAGTGCCATCTTCAAAATTTCAGGTCTTAAATCTGGTAAGAATAATATGTTAAAGTAGTTTTATAATTAATCAAACGTTTTTCTTAAATAGCATAACATGGAATATGGCTTTTCCCCCTTTCGATTGTGTTTTTCTGGTTGTTGAAGTAATACAAAACATTATTTTTTAAAAAAGACAATACAGAAACATTTGAAAAATAGTGAAAGACTTCATTGGTTCCTCACTCCTTCCTTCTCCCCCTAGAGAGAACCTAAGTCTTTGTTCTTTTTGTGTAGTATATACCTTCATAAAAATATTTTTTTTGGCCTGGCACGGTGTCTCACGCCTGTAATCTGAGCACTTTGGGAGGCCGAGGTGGGCGGATCACGAGGTCAGGAGATCGAGACCATCCTGTCTAACAAGGTGAAACCCTGTCTCTACTAAAAAATACAAAAAAATTAGCCGATTGTGGTGGTGGGTGCTTGTAGTCCCAGCTACTCGGGAGGCTGAGGCAGGAGAATGGTGTGAACCTGCGAGGTGGAGCTTGCAGTGAGCTGAGATCGTGCCACTTGCTCTCCAACCTGAGTGACAGCAAGACTCTGTCACACATATATATATATATATATTTTTTTTTTTCTTTCTGTAGCCTGTGGGCATTTTAGCAAATAATGAGAGGACTCTTCTCATAATTTATAATATACACGTGCAAGTGTTAAGTGAGAAGATAAACCAGATAGACTTGTATAGCAAATAGAATGGAAGTACTTATTTTCTTCCATTAAGATTGTTGAATTAGATTTGATCACCCCTCCAATGTTCTTCTTTTGATTCTGTTGATATTGCAGAGCCATAATTCTTTTCATTTATTTATTTATTTATTTATTTATTTATTTTTTATTATACTTTAAGTTCTAGGGTACATGTGCACAATGTGCAGGTTTGTTACATTATGTGCCATGTTAGTGTGCTGCACCCGTTGACTTGTCATTTACTTAGGTATATCTCCTAATGCTGTCCCTCCCCCTCCCCCCACCCCATGACAGGCCCCAGTGTGTGATGTTCCCCTCCTAGGTCCAAGTGTTCTTGTTGTTCAGTTCCCACCTATGAGTGAGAACATGTGGTGTTTGGTTACCTGTCCTTGCAATAGTTTGCTCAGAATGATGGTTTCCACTTTCATCCATGTCCCTACAAAGGACATGAACTCATCTGGTTTTATGGCTGCATAGTATTCCATGGTGTGTATGTGCCACATTTTCTTAATCCAGTCTATCATTGATGGACATTTGGGTTGGTTCCAAGTCTTTGCTACTGTGAATAGTGCCGCAATAAACATACATGTGCATGTGTCTTTGTAGCAGCATGATTTATAATCCTTTGGGTATATACCCAGTAATGGGATGGCTGGGTCAAATGGTATTTCTAGTCCTAGATCCTTGAGGAATCGCCACACTGTCTTCCACAATGGTTCAACTAGTTTACAGTCCCACCAGCAGTGTAAAAGTGTTCCTATTTCTCCATATCCTTTCCAGCACCTGTTGTTTCCTGACTTTTTAATGATTACCATTCTAACTGGTGTGAGATGGTATCTCATTGTGATTTTGATTTGCATTTCTCTGATGGCCAGTGATGATGAGCATTTTTTCATGTGTCTGTTGGCTGCATAAATGGGATCTTTTGAGAAAGTCTGCTCATATCCTCTGCCCACTTTTTGATGGGGTTGATTTTTTCTTGTAAATTTGTTTAAGTTCTTTGTAGGTTCTGGATATTAGCCCTGTGTCAGATGGGTAGATTGTAAAAATTTTCTCCCATTCTGTAGGTTGCCTGTTCACACTGATGGTAGTTTCTTTTGCTGTGCAGAAGCTCTTTGGTTTAATTAGATCCCATTTGTCAATTCTGGCTTTTGTTGCCATTGCTTTTGGTGTTTTAGACATGAAGTCCTTGCCCATGCCTGTGTCCTGAATGGTATTGCCTAGATTTTCTTCTAGGGTTTTTATGGTTTTTAGTCTAGCATTTAGTCTTTAATCCATCTTGAATTAATTGTTGTATGAGGTGTAAGGAAGGGATCCAGTATCAGCTTTCTACATATGGCTAGCCAGTTTTCCCAGCACCATTTATTAAACAGGGAATCCTTACCCTATTTCTTGTTTTTGTCAGGTTTGTCAAAGATCAGATGGTTGTAGATGTGTGGTATTATTTCCAAGGGCTTTATTCTGTTCCATTGGTCTATATCTCTGTTTTGATACCAGTACCCTGCTGTTTTGGTTACAGTAGACTTGTAGTACAGTTTGAAGTCAGGTAGCGTGATGCCTCCAGCTTTGTTCTTTTTGCTTAGGATTGTTTTGGCAATGCTGGCTCTTTTTTGGTTCCATATGAGCTTTAGTTTTTTCCAATTCTGTGAAGAAAGTCATTGGTAGCTTAATGGGGATGGCATTGAATCTATAAATTACCTTGGGTAGTATGGCCATTTTCACAATATTGATTCTTCCTATCCATGAGCATGGAATGTTCTTCCATTTGTTTGTGTCCTCTTTTATTTCGTTGAGCAGTGCTTTGTAGTTCTCCTTGAAGAGATCCTTCACATCCCTTGTAAGTTGGATTCCTAGGTATTTTATTCTCTTTGAAGCAATTGTGAATGGGAGTTCACTCATGATTTGGCTGTTTCTCTGTTATTGGTGTATAAGAATGTTTGTGATTTTTGGACATTGATTTTGTATCCTGAGACTTTGCTGAAGTTGCTTATCAGCTTAAGGAAATTTTGGGCTGAGACAATGGGGTTTTCTAAGCATACAATCATGTCACCTCCAAACAGGGACAATTTGACTTCCTCTTTTCCTAATTGAATACCCTTTATTTCTTTCTCTTGCCTGATTGCCCTGGCCAGAACTTCCAACACTATGTTGAATAGGAGTGGTGAGAGAGGGCATCCCTGTCTTGTGCCAGTTTTCAAAAGGGATGCTTCCAGTTTTTGCCCATTCAGTATGATATTGGCTGTGGGTTTTTCATAAATAGCTCTTACTATTTTGAGGTATGTCCCATCAGTACCTAATTTATTGAGAGTTTTTAGCATGAAGGGCTGTTGAATTTTGTCAAAGGCCTTTTCTGCATCTATTGAGATAATCATGTGGTTTTTGTCTTTGATTCTGTTTATATGATGGATTACGTTTATTGATTTGTGTATGTTGAACCAGCCTTGCATCCCAGGGATGAAGCCAACTTGATCGTGGTGGATACACTTTTTGATGTGCTGTTGGATTCAGTTTGCCAGTATTTTATTGAGGATTTTTGCATCGATGTTCATCAGTGATGTTGGTCTAAAATTCTTTTTTTGTGTGTCTCTGCGAGGCTTTGGTATGAGGATGATGTTGGCCTCATGAAATGAATTAGGAAGGATTCCCTCTTTTTCTGTTGATTGGAATAGTTTCAGAAGGAATGGTACGAGCTCCTCTTTGTACCTCTGGTAGAATTTGGTGGTGAATCTGTCTGGTCCTGGACTTTTTTTGGTTGGTAGGCTATTAGTTATTGCCTCAATTTCATAACCTGTTGTTGGTCTATTCAGGGATTCAGCTTCTTCCTGGTTTAGTCTTGAGAGGTTGTCTATGTGTCCAGGAATTTCTCCATTTCTTCTAGATTTTCTAGTTTATTTGCGTAGAGGTGTTTATAGTATTCTTTGATGGTAGTTTGTGTTTCTGTGGGATCGGTGGTGATATCCCCTTACTATCATTTTTTATTCCATCTATTTGATTCTTCTCTCTTTTCTTCTTTATTAGTCTCTTTAGTGGTCTATCAATTTTGTTGATCTTTTCAAAAAACCAGCTCCTGGATTCACTGATTTTTTTGAAGGGTTTTTGTGTCTCTCTCTCTTTCAGTTCTGCTCTGATCTTAGTTATTTCTTGCCTTCTGCTAGCTTTTGAATGTGTTTGCTCTTGCTTCTCTGGTTCTTTTAATTGTGATGTTAGGGTGTCAATTTTAGATCTTTCCTGCTTTCTTTTGAGGGCAGTTAGTGCTATAAATTTCCCTCTATACGCTGCTTTAAATGTGTCCCAGAGATTCTGGTATGTTGTGTCTTTGTTCTCATTGGTTTCAAAGAACATCTTTATTTCTGCCTTCATTTTGTTATGTACCCAGTAGTCATTCAGGAGCAGGTTGTTCAGTTTGCATGTAGTTGAGTGATTTTGAGTGAGTTTCTTAATCCTGAGTTCTAGTTTGATTGCACTGTGGTCTGAGAGACAGTTTGTTATAATTTCTGTTCTTTTACATTTGGTGAGGAGTGCTTTACTTCCAACTATGTGGTCAATTTTGGAATAAGTGTGATGTGGTGCTGAGAAGAATGTATATTCTGTTGATTTGGGGTGGAGAGTTCTGTAGATACCTATTTGGTGCAGTTGGTCCAGAGCTGAGTTCAATTCCTGGATATCCTTGTTAACTTTCTGTCTCGTTGATCTGTCTAATGTTGACAGTGAGGTGTTAAAGTCTCTCATTATTATTGTGTGGGAGTCTAAGTCTCTTTGTAGGTCTCTAAAGACTTGCTTTATGAATCTGGGTGTTCTAGTATTGGGTGCATATATATTTAGGATAGTTAGCTCTTATTGAATTGATCCCTTTACCATTATGTAATGGCCTTGCCTCTTTTGATCTTTGTTGGTTTAAAGTCTGTTTTATCAGAGACTAGGATTGCCACCCCTGCCTTTTTTTTGTTTTCCATTTGCTTGGTAGGTCTTCCTCTATCTCTTTATTTTGAGCCTATGTGTGTCTCTGCACATGAGATGGGTCTCCTGAATACAGCAAACTGATAGGTCTTGACTCTTTATCCAATTTGCCAGTCTGTGTCTTTTAATTGGAGCATTTAGCCCATTACATTTAAGATTAATATTGTTATGTGTGAATTTGATCCTGTCATTATGATGTTAGCTGGTTATTTTGCTCATTAGTTGATACAGTTTCTTCCTAGCATTGATGGTCTTTACAATGTAGCACGTTTTTGTAGGGGCTGGTACCAGTTCCTTTCTATGTTTAGTGCTTCCTTCAGGAGCTCTTGTAAGGCAGGCCTGGTGGTGA